AAGATTTAAAAACTTTATAAATTATTCTAACTAAAAATTTAAGAAATGAAAACAATTCTAGTAAGAATTCATTATTTATCAAAAAAAAATTTTTAAGCCCAATAGTGTCCTTAATATTTCTTATTTATAAAATAATTAAAAGCTTTTCTAATTAAATAATATCTTGGCTGAGTGGTTAGAATGTTTGCATTCTGACCATGAGACCTGGGTTCGAATTTCACCATGGTCGATTTGTTAGGAAGGAGGCTTCCTGGTATTATCGGGTTGATCCCAGCGTGCAGCACCTTTGGAAAGTGCCTAAAAACCACATCACAGGTTGGCCCAAGCCGTGTGAGTAAAATTGGGTAAACAGAACCCTTGGGTGCTGTCAATAGCTGTGCTAGCATGAAGTCACAAGTCATTGTGGCCGAGGGCTTGTGTGTGCTGGCCTTGTTCAAATTGTTGATCATGCTAGATAATGCACTCTTTCCCAGAAACTGTAACTACAGTCTTCTCAGCATAGTTGCTGTATAAACCACAGGTGGGCTCTGTGGGTTTTTGAATAAACACAAATTCACCTGAGCAAGCGTCTGCAATATGGATTGGCTAGCTGCCCTAGTAGACAGGTATCCTTGAATACGAGTGGCCAGCTATATACACACAGTATCTTAGTTTCATTACATTTTTTTATTTTCTGTAAGTGGGGTTCTGGTTTTTTAAAAAAAAAAATTAATGATTTAAATTCTCCAAGGATTTCTGCATTTAATTAATATAAATATTAAGCTGTACAAAAATGAACTTCTTGAAATTTCATGAAATTAAATAAGGTGGGGGCTAGCAATTCTGTATTTTGATCTATTTTTGGCAAATTGCTTGAATCTACCTTTTTAGTTATTACTTCAAAGAGAAATACTGTAACAAATTACATCCAAATTCAATGTATTGTGCAGCATACGCAGTATTCCATGGTTTTGTAGTTAACAATAAACAAACATACTATTGTTGACACCTCAGAGGACATTGTCATTAGACCGTGGAAGATTGGCACAGTGTTATCTGGTCGCATAAAACACATTTCTAGCTCATTCAAGCAGAGAGTCAAAATTGACAAACTAATGTTTAAATCTGTAGTGTTTATGACAAAAAACTTTAAAAATCTTTATAATTTAAGGCTTGATAACACAAACAAATTAGATTCAAATTATAGTGAACACACTATTAGAACATTCATCAATTTCAGATAAAATAATAACCTCCTTTTACTGAAAATTTAATAAGATACAATATTTTGACTGAGTGGACACCAACTTAAAATGAAATTTAATTAACTTATCGTTATATAATAATTTTATGGAGAAAGAAAAATATTATGCCACATATATCAAATTATTAATCTGTAAAGGTTAAACTTTTAAGCATGGATAATTTTCAAGTTATCAGAAATCTTATACTCTTAAAGTAACACACTTTGAAATGGAACATTTTTTGTTATATATTTGCACATATTTTATCTACTATTATGTCTATACACCAGGAATAAATAAAGGACAATATATCAAATAGGCAGTTCATGTGATAGGGTAAAAGTCCGAGTTGAAGTAGTAAGAGGAGTCATTAAGTAATCTTCCTGTGTTTATTTTGTATTTCCTGTTGTACAAAAAAAAGGAAAAACAATTTTTGTAAAACACCTCAACAATTTCTGGAATATAAAAATTTTGGATTTACAATGTGATATGATCCATCTCCCCCATTAATGGATCTGTCCTGAATACATATATTCAGGAGAACTCTGCTTATATGCAGTTTCCCAAACATCTGTGGCAGGGAGGAATGCAGATGAAGTTATGCCAAAGGGCAGAGTTTCATCTGGTGAGGTAGAGAGCTGCCCGAGCCTGTGTATACAGCAAATTTCCCCAAGCCTATGGACCCAAAAAGCCCCATGTAAAAATAAAACTGGCCTTGTGCCACATTCCACTTTGTGGGGGAGGTAATGGGTAAATATTGTTTGTCAAATCTTTGGGTTTGACAGTACTTAGCTTGACGTGGCTATGCTGAAGGGCAGAGTCTCCTCTGGGGAGGTAGGCTGCAACCCGACCCTGTATATATGAAGTCTACAGGAAATTTTTGCCTGTGCCTAAAAAAATAAATATAAAAAAAACATAAAAAACCAGCCTTGTGTCCACATCTTGCCTTGTAGGGACGACTTGGGTAAATACCGAGTTCATCAAATCTTTGGGTTTGACAATACTCAGCTTGTTAAACTCTCTGCCTTTGAGCAGAGAGGAACCCAAATGACAGATGCCCATCTGGGAAGGTAGACAGCTTGGGTAAATACCAAGTATATCAAAGCTTGAAGGAGTCAGAGAGTTTGCTGCTTGTCGACCTTTCTGCTTCCAGGCAGGGAGGAACTCAGATGAGGCTATGCTGAAGGGTAGAGTCTCAACCGGGCACATAGACAGCTACCTGACCCCATTATTACAGGGTTTATGGGGAATTTTTGCCTTGTGCCACATCCTGCTCTGGTAAATACAGAATATATCAAAACATTAGCTTGCCAAACTCTCTGCCTTTGGGTGAAGAGGAATTCTGAAGAGGCTATACCTATTGGTAGAGCTCAGGTAAATACCAGGTATATCAAAGCCCTGCTGATCAGACTGTTTACATTCATTTCATTTAGTTCTATTACTTTTTTTTAATCTGTGAATTAATAATAAATAAAGAATATATTACATATATTAATATATAACTTGCAAAAGATCATATTATTAATTGTTGTTGTTGTTGTTATTCATAATAACAACACTACATAATTAAAGTAATATTGGTAATTTTAAAAAATAAATGTGAAAATATTAAAAAACTATTTGAATTAAAGAAAAAACTGAGAATATTTCAATAATTTGTTTTTAATTAATAAGCTTCTTTCAAATTTAAACATTTTTGGTATAACAATAAGCTACATCCACATCCTGGGTAAGATGATAAACTACATCCGACAGCAAGGCAGTTTGGGGAGCGTGGAACCACCTCTTAATTGCTGGTGTTCCGAGATATATCCTGACCCAGGGTGGTAGCACCTATTATGGTCCCAGCTATGAGTAAATACTTAAACCCAAACTAGGGTCAAAACACTATGAAAGTGTAAAAATGGGTTTTAATACCAGCAATGTTTTTTTTAAAAAAAATTACCAGCAATAAATTTTTGAATAAAAAACTATTACCAGCAATACATTTTTGGAAAAAATATTATCAGCAATAAATTTTTGGGAAAAAATATTACCAACAATACATTTTTGAAAAAAAAAAGATTACCAGCAATAAAAATCTTTTTGGCATTAAATAACCAATTATGTCGTAAAATAAATCAAACCAAACCAATCAAATTTAAACAAATCCCAAATATTTATTATAAATTTTTATGAAGATATTATTTGAAAAATTAATTTCATATCTAAATTTTTATATAAAATTAAATCAATTATTTATTTTTAATGGTTTCTTTAAAACTAAATTATCATTTCATTAATATATACACATTAAAATTAAAATATAAAAAACAAATCTTATTTTGAAATTTCATGTAACTCACTTCAATGCCAAAAAAAGTACTTTTGAGATGTTTGACTAAATTTATGATATCCCAGTTATTTATGATTAAAATGTTTTCAGATTGAACATAAAAAATATTATTATTAACAAAACCATATTGATATATAACAGATATTTATGAATTTATATAGAATGAAGAAGAATAATATCAAAGTAAAATGATCTAAGCATTCATTTTTTTATTCAATTTCATTTTACTCAATTGTTATATTATTTGCAAACTTTATTTTTGTTCACAGAGTTAAAAATTTCTTCTTATTATTGATCTGATTTTGTTATGTGAGGATGGCCAAAGAATGAATCAACCAAAATGCTACAATAAAAATTAGAATTCCAGTCAGAGTGATTCATACTTACTTATACCCTGTATATATATGTATAGAAGAATTTTTTAATATATATAAAAAAATTGTTGCATTGAAATTATTTTTCCTTGTTTTACACTCTATTTGAAAGATACTTTACAAAAGAAGAAAAATAAAGAAAAAATAACCCTAAATGCAAATGGATAACAAAGAATCAATAAATATCAAATACATCCTCTGAATCAAGTAACAATCTTATAATGAAGTTAATCTTTTTTTTTACATGGGCAATGTCACAAAATTCAACTTTGAAATAAACTTCAAAAAAAGAATGGATTTTTACAATCAGTGAATGTATGAATGATGATAATTATGATGATGATGACAACACTGATAATGATGACTGTATTCTTTTCAATTTGAAAATGAATTTTATTTTTGTAACATTATCATCATCATTAGCCCTGTAAAAGCTTTTTTGTGAAAAGCTTGTCAATATTTCATCATTTTCAAAATTTAATGTCTAAAAATTGATTTGAAATTTCATTTATTTTTGTTTTCCTTTTAGACTTTTGTTGATATTAGAAAGTTTTATACATTAATTCATATTTAGTTTTGAGTTTTGAATTTAGTAAACTAAAATTATGAATAAGATTGAAATTACATTTGAGTTTGTTTTGTTGTATTTATTTCTGAACAATTAAAATGATTAAAGAAAATGAATTGCATGATTTTTTATATTGAAATGTAAAAGTGAATTCCACATTAGATGCAACACTAAAGTAAGTAAAATAAGATTTTAAAGATAAATCTTGAAGAAATATTTGTTAGAGTGAAAAAAGAAAAAAATATTATTGCTTAAGAAAAAGAAGAATTGTGTAAGGTTTGCTGACCCGTGACCAGGTCTTTGACTGACCTTTGACCCGAGTTTCAATCGGCGGAGAGGAGGAGGAGGAGAAGAAGTAGTCGGAGCTTAGGAGGAAGGGGAGGAGGAGGAGCAATATGGCGACTAGTGGTAGTTGTCAGTGGAGGGGTGCTGGGCCGGATGATACGAGGGACCACAAGGAGGTTACACCAATTGAAAGAATAGACAGTGGTGGTTTCCCAATGCTGGACGATTATTCCTCTGAAAGTGATGTGGATACGGAACCGGCCAAGGCCTTCCATCGAAAGATATCGACCTATAAAGAGATCACGACGACGGTAAGGTGACCAGCTTCCTCCATTGGCTTGATGTTGTGTTGTGTGTATATGTCATCGTCCCTTGTTTTCCTCGTCTTATTATTATTATTATTACCACTCGATTTCACCGCTGTTTTCCTTCTTGTAGAACTACTGATAGTTTATTTATTCTTACCTTTAATCTCGGATAGTGAGGAAAAATCTTGTAATGCCGTGTGTGATGCTTCTTGTTGAAACCCCGACCAAGATGGTCTTCTTCTTGGGACGTCCCTTTTCCAAGCCAATAAATAATTCTCCTCAGGTACTTCGTGTGTAATAGCAGGAAACGCTCACAAAAAGACAATTCTCTTCTTTGATTAATGAATCTGTTTAATCAGCCGACAGTTCAAACAGAATACATCTTTCTATTCTTGGAATCAAGCTTCTTTTTTTTTTTTTTTTTTTTTTTTTTTAAGTAAAAGAAGAAACCTTGCAAACCCGAACCAAATGACGAGCGAAAACAAACATTGCAACTGCGGCCACTTTTTTGGTTTTGCTTACTTGACACAACTAAAACTAATTAACAATGTCGTTTGAAAAAGAAAGCAATAACATTTTATTTTGACTTGAAAAAAATTCAAATTTTCTCTTCTGGAAAAAAAAAAAAAAATGATTCTATAAAATAAAATAAATCTAAAAACAAAACGGAAATTTTTTCTTATCGATTTTCGAATAAAGAACTGATTTTGGTTTTGGTTAAAAAAATATAAAAAAGGGTTGGAATTTTAAAGATTTTTTTTTTTTTTGTATAAATTTGTCGATAATTTCTTATAAGATGAAAATATAAATAAGAAAACAAAACACAAATGCTTTATTAAATTAATTTCTTCGAACTTTGGCGATAAAGTTAATATTTTTTTTTTTTTTTTGTAACAATAAAATCGTTAAAAAGTTTTAATTTCAAGGGTTTTCTTTTTTAGAAGATTGAAATTTTTCTCCATTCTTGCGATGAGTGAAAAAAAAAAGAAAAAAAAAGAAGAAAATACCAATTCCAAAACAAAAACTCTTCAAGTCGCGAATTAAAAATGTTTTTTATCCAACAACGAAAAAAAGCATTTTTTTTTTGCTGTTGATTTAGTTTTAGTTTTTCTGGGTCTTAAAGAAATTTAAAAAATAAAATCTCAGCATCATTTTTCTTAATTAGAAAAAAATTAAACACTTTTATTTTTACTTAAAGATCCTTTTTTGGGACAGTAGAATTTTAGGAAAATCCTGATTTTCGACTTGATATTTTTTTTTCTTTAATCCAAAGGAGATTTGTTTGTTGTTAGAGAAACTGTTTTTGTTTGTTTGGCATTTTACAACAATAATTCCATTTTTTAATTTTAGTCCCAAAACACCGACTTTGCAGTGAAGGTCACATTTACATTTGTTTTTTGTTTTTGTTTTTTTTTTTTATTTATATATATATATATATATATATATATATATATATATAATTTTTAAGAATCGGAATAAAATTATAGAAAGTAGCAACAACTTGAAACTTATCAAATTTCCAACTCCGCTGGACATTCACGATAAAAATTGGGTCACTTGTTTAGACGTTTTTTTCACTTTTTGGGATTCTTTTCTTAAGGGGTTTTTGTTTATTTTATTAAATTTTTATTAAGACACTTTAAAAAAAAATGAAAAAAGTAAAAAAAAAAAAAATTAATTAATTAACGTCCCCCCCTCTCCCAAGAAAGCATCTATCTTTTTTTGCGTACATACGCACTCGATAAAAAACTGAAAAATGATGAGAACTGCCGTGATGGGAATTGTAAAATTTATTTTCTCCAAAAATCTTTATTGTTATAATACGTAAAAAAGTGAATGCGTAAACTGAAAGAAAAATAAAGACAAATAACATTTTTTTTCTTCAATAATTTATAGACAAAAATTAGAATTGCACTTTAAAAGTCAAAATTCAGAGATGTTGGAGGAAATTTGGTTAAAAAATCTGAAAAAATTCGCTTGGGTTTTTAAAAAGTTTTATATGTTGAAATTAAAATTATTTTCTTCATAAGTTTGTTTTTTTAAAATCTCCTAAATTAAACAGCTGATTAATATGAGAATTGAAAAAGTAAAAGTGAAAAGTTATTTTTGCTTTTCAAGTTCCTTAGCAAGCAAGCACTTGTATAATTGAAGTGAACAAAAGTAAAATCAGAAAGTAAAAAAAAAAAAAAATTATAAATAATTCCGATAAACTTGCTTTATTACACTTACAGGAAAAGAAAGTTATCAGTGTTTTATTTTGACTTTTTAAACAATCCTTAATAAAATATAAAAACAAAAAATTTTCCTTTTTAAAGTTTATCCATCCCAATCCCATCATAAAACATAAATATCACTTACAATGACACTCAATTGCTATTTAAATTTTAGGATAATAAATTGTTTGTATATATATTTTTAATGCGAGAGCTTTCTTTCACTTTGCCCCGCCCAATCTAAAAAGAAAAAAATACAAGTTTTCTTTTTTCCTGTTTTCAGTCATCCCAAACCAACTATAAACATTCCCATTTCTTACCTATCAACTGGCAACACATACATTCAATTTTTTTTTTACCTTATTTAGTATATAAAGACTTAACTTGCTTCAAATTTCCTCTCACGTCATTTTTTTCCCCTCAAAAATAAAATGACACGGTTGGTTGGAGTTTGATAGGGTAAATAATGTTTTTTTTTCCTTCAACATATTTTGCTGCAATTTACTAGGAAAAAAAATTAACTTTTTCTAGGAAATTTGTGCATGACCCTTAATAAATATAATAATAAAAACATTTATTTACTCTTTCTTTTTACTCATACTGTCTGAATTTTGTGGATCAAGAGTTCTGTTATAATTTTTACAATTACGCTCAGATTATTATCCTCCTCTTTGTTGTTTCGGACCTTATCCCCTCTAGCCTTTTATCTGGATTGATAAGAGCCCGAAGGCTGGAGAGAACAGCGACCAAAACGTTGTGATAACAACAAAAATGAGAGCAATAATCCGAATGTAAATAATGAGCGTTTATTTATATAACTATAACAAGTATTTTTCAACATAATCTCCTCCTTCGTCAGTGCACTTAATTAACCGAATCTTTCTCTCTATGAATCACATAGATCAAACCTTACATAGTGATAATTTCAAATCAAAGTTCAGTGGATAACTAAACTTATTGATCCATAATAATTTTCATTGAAAACAGCATTATTTTTCATTATGAAAATTGAATGATTACCAACTTTGATATTGAAATTTTAGTCTGAATTTCTGGGATGAGGAGTTATCATTATTTCTATTTACATTCAGACTACAGGACAATAGCCTAGTGAATTTAAAGTGTTGGTTTGTGAATTTAGTGACATAGTTATTGTGAGTTCAATCCTTGGGCCAGGTAGTAGAAACAGGTGAGCAATAACTGAGCAGTACTAAAAATAAGAACTAGACTAAATATCCCTAGACATGGGTGTTGAAATGTGAACCCCCATAGATTAAATAAGTTCAGTTCAAAATTTCCTTTAGGTAATTTAGATCGATATACACCTGATGAAGTCCTGAGGGCACAAGTATTGTGATAGCAACAACAAAGTGAGAACATGTAAATAAAAATATGGAATGTTTAAAAAAAATTTTTTTTTCATACTTGTAAGCCAATCAGTTTTACCTGATATTTTTTCTTACTTAAACTTGTCCTCTTAAACTACTTTATAACCTCATGTGTCTCAGGTCTTCACATTTCAATAGTGTTGTTTAGTTTTTTATACATAGAAAAGAATTTTATTGTTCAGAGTTTTATTACAAAACAGAATTCAGTTCAGATATATGTGTGTATATATATATATATATATATATATATATATATATATATATATATATATATATATATTTTACTTTTGTATTTGAGATATTTTCCTTACAATAAATCTCTTTATTTCATCTGATACTGCACTTTATTATTTTTTTTTTTTTTTTAACAAAACATTTGCTTTAGACATTTAGTTATTCAAGTTGATGATACATTTGGTCTAAAAGGAAAAAGAGATACAGAAATATTTATGTGGTTCATTTTAGGATTTGTTTTTAAACTTGTCATTAACTTTGTGTAGGACTTGATTTCTCTTTCAAGATATTACAAATGCCTTGCTTCATTTGTGTAAATAAATTGCTTTAGCATTTAAAATTTAATCTATTATCTTTATTATTTTTTGTTTTTGTAAAATTTTGCACAATCTGTTCTCTTTTCTGTGTAGTGTGATCATTTGTAAAGAGTGAATGATAAATGTCATCTGATGAAGCATCAAGTCAGAAAATTAAAAAATATTACATAAAATAAATTTCTTATTACAAATCATTCTCATAAAAATAAATGATAGATTTTTTTTAATTAACAGAATAATTATTTAATTTTATCATTTTCTTGGAATATTGTGTGTGTGATACTGTTGAACGACACTTACTCAAGACTTTAGATAAAACATTTACAAGTCTTCTAAGTAAATGGCTTCAAAACAGAATTTCTAATGCAATTAGCACAATCCAAAAGGGTTTACCATCATAAATAAAATTAAATAATATATATTTAAGTTTCATTCCTTTTTTGGGTTGTAAAATTTTTTTCAGATAATTATGTGATTAAAAGAGGAAACCAGATCTATTGAGATTTGAACATTTGCTGTGGACATTTTATGCCTGTTTGATAAATTTGAACAACCTTGCAATGAAAACTTGTAAAAAGAATCTATTTTGGCTATTTAGTGTCAATACATACCAAAAATCATATGCTGATAAAAGCTGATTGGTTATTAATATCAACTTAAATAGTTCTGTTTCTAAATAGAATAATCTTCTTTAAAAATTGTTTGGACTTCAGCAAAATTGATCATTTCAAATGCTTTTTGTATCATACTCACCCACTCTCTACATCATATTTCCATGTTGTTTTTGATAAAATCAATTTTAAGAATACATTTTCATTGTAGATTGGCTCGTAAATCTCTTCAATTGTCCT